AGAATCTGTATAACTAAAAGAAGCATAGCAGAAAAAAAATTACAGAGACAGAGGTCTCACCTCTATTACATTGCCTTTACACTAAAGTAGCTTCTTTGACTTTGGAAGAATTGTAGCAGCTTTAAAAAGAGGTGATGATACAGTGACTCAAAGTTGCTGTCTCTGCCCAGGGCTGATCCTTTGGCTGGTACAAATAGGTATAGCTCCACTAACTTCAATGTACTTTGATTTATATTAGCTGAGATTTTGGCCTCTAACTTCTTATTCACAGAAAAAATCTGCCACTCAGATGAGTGCTTAGAGGTATGGATTAAATGCTTCTGCTTATCCTTCTGTAAGTGCTGAATGATGAGCTCTTCTCACTACATAGTCATTTGACATGTCCATTTGTTGGTACATCAAAATGGCACTGTGACGATTGGAAGCGTTCTTTCAGGATGGATGTGAAACTGGTCCCATCTCCTCCTGAGGGAAAGTATGATGGCTGGTTTGCTGGGTTTGCTATGCGAGAGTTGAAAGAGATAAAGAGCTAAATAGCAAGGCATGAAACCAAACGTGAACCTTTCCATGTCTCAATTGCTTCCTAGAAGAGAACTTCTCTGCCAGCTATAGCAGTAAATTAGGGTGAAAACTGAGAATAAACCTCAGTTTCAGGAAGAAAATATAGCTAAAAGACAGTGAAGATTTTGTTGGAGCAAACTTACAACGCATGAGATCAAGATGATAGAAGAGGGCTTTCTTTAGCTATGGTTTAATAGGATGTTCTGCCTGTAGCATTCACTGCAACCAGCCACTTATATGCTTTAAAAGCAGGGAATTTTGAATTCACCAATTCCTTTTTACGGAGTTTAATTATTATCATTTAACACCACATGATGGCACAAGGCAGTTTTTGTATTGGTGACAACAGCTCCAGACATGCTTAGTAACCAAAGTGAAAGTCATGGAAGGGTTAAATCCTGCCTTTTTTTGAGCAGCTACGGAGTGAACTCATCCAGCATGACTACGTCCCTTTTTTACAGGACAGGACAGGACAGGACAGGACAGGGAAGGGAAAGAAAGGGATGGGAAGGGAAGGGGAGATGGTCACTCCTGCCCTGGAGCAGAACTTTGCCAACATTTTCTCTTGCTCAGTATGAAGGTGTATTTGCAATGCAGTATGTTCTGGAGGCAAATAAAGTAGGGCATGTCACCCTGTGACTACGTGGATACATGGCCATTCTCCACCATGCGTAAACATGCTAGTTGTAAGAGCTCTCTTTTGTACTGGGCCTACAGAAAGAGGAGGGAAGTACCTCATCAAGCCCAGTAGGCTGGGAACTGTACTCAGGATTTGACTCCCAGGCATATGTGAAGTAACAGGCTCAGCAATGAGCAGCAGCTACTGAAAAACACAAGAACAGACCAGCTAAAACAGCAGAGTAAATAAGCTAAGCTGGCATGCTCTTCTTATTAGACTCATTTGTCTCCATGCCATCTCACTGCAGGAAGTTCTTCAGTTTAATTATATATTGTTTCAAAGATTTCTTTCTGAAGAATTCGTGACGTGATATATGGCTCTGCTCTTATCAATACTATTGTTTGCATTTAATAATATACAAGACAAAATGATTTAGTTTCTTGAGGGTACTATTTGGTTTATGTAAGTGAGTCTCTCTTCTGCATGAGACAGAGTCACACAAAGCTACCTCAAAAGTGATTAAGCTGCAATGTTGGAAATTCAAAGCTTAGTCATCTAAAGCTGTATTATAACTCATATACTGGAGGAGGCCACACTGAGATTGCAGTGACAGCCTTAGGTCAAATATTTTTTGGCTTGAATGCTTAATTTGGCAACATCAAGATCCTTTTAATGAAGTCAGTGTCTGATTTCTGTGTGAGCTTTTTTTTTTTTTTAAAGAGAGTAAAATACTCCCAAGTCCCATCCTGAGACATCTGTCTCTTTTTCACTCTTTCACAATCTGCTCTGGCCTCCTCACCCAGGAGGTCCCAGCTGTTCCCCCGTTCCTTGTTAAAGCCGTTTTCCCCTGTTATGCACACTGGTTCCTACTCTGTCTCCAGGTAGAGTCAGTCCCTGCCTCCTGTCCTCCCTCAGCTCTTTCTTTTGATCACCTCCACCTACTCCTGCATTGGGAACTGGCTGAGCAGAAACACTGGCAGCTACTTTCTCCTTTCCCTCCAGGTCCTGCTCTTGCTCTGTTTTTTGACTCCCAGTCACCACACTGGTGTTTTTCTCTTCACTGTTAAATTCCAGCCACAGCTCCTTTCCCCGGTCTATTTCTTGTCCTGAGGTCCTCACAGCTTCTGTCTCTTGCTCCGTTCAGATAAAGCTGTGTCCTTTTCCTGCTGCCAGTGTGGCACCAATAAGTCCCCTAAGACCATGACCAAGTAGGTTCACTGACATTCACTGCCCTCAGCCCAAAGCCACCCATGGGCAGCAAAGCACATCCTGCTGCTCTGTGACCAGGTTGCTTGTGCAGCCCTGTCCCAGGCAACTGTGAGGGGTTTGAGCAACTGTGTGAGGTTGGGACCAAAAGGCTGCTGAAAGCTCCAGCAGGTCTGTACTGAGTGCCGGCTGTTTTCTTCCAACGAAGAGTTTCCAGCTGGACTTGATTTGGTATGTTTTTCAAAGGGGTGACAACTCTCCTCCCATGAAGATGACTCCTGGCAAGCTGTGAGCCCATATGGCTATAGCTTTCTTAATGGATCAGCTGGCTTTGTCTTTTTTTTTTTTAATTTTTTTTTTGAGGCAGAATGTTGTATGATAGCTACCTCTACAGTTAAAGTTTGATGAAGTTGAAGCAACTTATCAAAAAGTTTTGATACTCTGAATACAGGTCCAGGCTATAATTTCTTGTTATATATTTCAGCGAATTCTAAATGCTGAAACTACAAACACTTTTTCTGATGGTTGCATATTTATGAAATATAAATAACACTTTCATGAAAGCCTGTGTCACTTTCCCACTGAGGTAAATGGGAGGCTTTCTATTGATTTTATTGGCTATTAGCTTATGGCCTAAATACATCACAGCATTCAAGAAGCGTTTCTCCGTTCAGTTAATATGGACAAGAGTTAGAGAAGACAAGATGCTTTTCCCTTTTAAGGTCCCCATGCATGGTGAGAAAATGGCAGTTCTATCCATATAATTCTTTTTCATGATTTCAGCTTTTGCTACTTTTCAGAAAATATCTGTGTTTGAGAGTTTTTTGAATTATGGTTTTAGTTGGGGATGTATTGAATAAGTGCAGTGCGCAACATGCTAACTAAAATAGGCTGGAATCAAGTTCTTGATCTCAGATGACTCACTAGACTTCACATACCGTTGTGATTGCTAACACTCTGACATTTCTTTGAAAAAAGCGTCTCACAGAAGGAGAAAAATAATAAACTTATGAGTGAATCTTCCTCCCTAATCCCTTAACCTATCCTTCTTTTTTAACCCGGCACAGTAGGAAGATAGACTTTTAACTCTTCAAAAGGTTTCCATTGTTTAGATTCAAAAATGTCACGGGAATCATTAAAGATGAACACCAAGCTTATTGAAATGGGAATTGTAATATTTGTAATTAAATATTTGTAATTAAATAAAGATTAATTCCATAATGAACATGGTAATAAAAAGAATCACTGAAAATGCAGCACTGTTACAGTGATTATAGTACAGTGTACAGTGTCACAGTACACTTACATACAGTGTACAAGACTGAATGGGCTTTATAATAACTAATTAAATAAATTGTCATAAAAATGATGTGCAGCCAGTATCTTTCTGGGCAAATAGACCTTTTTTCCTTTGAATTGATACTATGAATACATCCCTTTTTAATCTTTTATTGCGTTTACATGCACATACTTTTACAGTTATAGAAAGAGATATTTCAGTTATCTTAAGTCTATTCTATGACTGTAGCTGTGATGGAAAAGAAGTTTTCTTTTTCTTCATCTCCTGTCTAATATATTATTATTGTATCTCCATTATTATTACCAGTAATAATAACAGAGTTTATATTCTGGAAGCAGTAAGGGTTTCTAATCACAGAACTATATGTTTAGAAGATGTGGGCTCTTGCCCAAAGGAACAGAAAACCAAAGTGAAAAAGACAGCAGAGTCAATGCATGAAAAAAGAACAAGTCTATGGTAAAATGAAATGTTATGCAGTTTATTCATTTTGATTCTTAAGAATATAAATGTGTATAAATGTGCGATTTGCCTCAAATGAAGAATATACCAAAATAAGGCTGTATCAATGGCTATCACTGGTGTTTTCATGTATAGAAAATGAGTCCTTTCCTACTTGGTGAGATGTGGAGACGAGATGTTGAGTAACATTTTTCTAGTCAGATTTTGAGGAGGATATTGGGTTATTTTGCTTTTTTTACAGGCTGTGCACACTTTCTTTGTATTACATTATCTTGTACAATATTTTTGCTCCAAATATATTTAAAATGCAGAAATAATTCTTCAAATATTCCATATGCTACAGTAATAATACAAAATTACAGTTAAAACAATTACAGTTGTAATAATACAAAAATACTGTTAAAAGTAACTGGAGCTGGAGCTGTTCTACAATTGCTCAAATGTGGTGATTAATCTCATATATGCCCTAAAATACACACATTAGACTTTTATGTATAGTGTTATCCGTGTTACAGTAGTTGTCATCATAGACATGATGCAGTAGAATGTTTAATTGCTTTACAGCTTTCTGTAAATAAATCACACTTCTGATACCTTGTCGAAGAGCTTTTCTTTCAAGTCACTGATAATTGATGAGACAGGTTAGATCATTTGCTAGGAAATTCTGATATCACGTTACACATTAGGATGGGTAGCACAGAAAAAGTAAAGTAAATCAGAGGGCAAATAAACTGTCAAGTGATATATTTTAATAAATAATTAGTCTGAATGCCATATCAGTGCAATTCATATTCATAATTTTGATGTCATTTAAAGTAAGCTGTAATATCAAAATTAAGATGGAACAGAGTATCATTAGGTTAAGCTACTCCTGACTGGGAACAAGTTGAAATATGATGACTTTTCTTTTAATGATACCGAGCTCAGAGAAAACCCACAAGGAATTAACTGTGAAAAAACCTGCAAAACCTTTTGCCTGAAATATTTGCCAACAAAGACATAAATCACAGGGTTAATGCAACTATTGGTGATAGCCAGGGTAGAAGTAATTTGCTGACCAAAGTTGAGCAGTTCTTCCCAGAAACAGCCTTTGACCACTTCCATCTGGAGTAATACATCAAGGAATGTAAAAAGATGGTAAGGAGTCCAGCACAAAAGAAACATCAGCACCACTATGAAGATCAGTCTGGTAGCCTTAGTGTCTCTGTGGTCCTTGCAACTCTTTGTCCTGAGCGTTCTTTGTTCTCTTATGTTTTCTCGCAGGGAGTGAATGATACAAAAATTAAGGAAGACCATTGCGGTAGACGGCAGTGCAAAACCCACTATGTTGAAGACCAGACGCTCGGCTGTTGCCCATGATGGGGTGGGGAAGTCTAAAGTGCATGCTGAGATATTCCACCGAGGAAGATGTTTCACAGTCCGAAATGTAAAGGTTGGGATGCTGACAAGGATTCCAAAGACCCAGAGGAGCAAGCAGATCCCTTTGGCCAGAGTTTTGTTTCGTATCCCTCTGTTGCTCAAGGTATGAACAAAAGTCAAATAGCGATCCAAGCTGACTGCCACAAGCAAGTAGATGCTGGTGTACATGTTTAGGCTGGTGGCTGCGCTGGTGCTACGACAAAGGAAATTGCCGTATGGCCAGTTAAATTCATTCCTGATGTTCTCTGCCCAGAAAGGGAGGCACATGAGGAAGATAAGGTCAGCAGCAGCTAAGTTAATAAGGTAGATTTCAGCTATCTTTAGGGAGCCCTTGTATAATGAATAAATGAAGAGAACAAGTACATTTCCAAGCATACCAATAACACAGATGGTGTCTATGTACGTGGGTAGTATAGAGTAAATGATTTTCCACCAGTCATCTAATTCTGGGCAAATAGTCGAGTTGCTCTCATTTTCACTCCAGTTTGAGGAGGGAACGTTCAGTAAAGGACTTTCAGCCATTTTCTTTATTCTGAAATGAACATAAGACCTTTTTGAAACAAGAAAAAGGGACTGCACAAAAGAGGCATAAAATTCTAAAAACTGTCTCCTATCAGTGCTGCAAACATTTAACTGCTGGAAATTCTATTTTAGTGCTCGCTGATTTTTATAGGCTGGCTGTATGCATGATGCATGCATACAAAGGTCAGAACTATTCCCTATATTGACAAAAAGGAAACCTCCTCTACACCCTATGAAATTTCCTCTCTTTGATGACATTGTTTAAAGTGGCACAGAGGAAGGTAAGCGCCAATTTAATGTAAGTTGGTCTGTACTTCTCTCCCAGACTAACAACAGAAATAAATAGAGCAGAATTCCAGCTCCCTGAGAATAGTGGGAGTGATGCTGATCACACGAAGCCAGCTCTGTGCCCTTCCCTGCCCTTTCTTTTACTCTTATTTCTGGACTGAGTATAACTTTAGCAGTGTGATGCCAGCTTCCCTAGGGATGGGAATGCTGCTCATTTTTTGTATGCATCATTTGTTTGGTTAACTTCACATTTCATTGTTCTCTGTCAGTTCCTCTCTTGCCAAACTTTAGGTTCAAAATTACTGTTAGATTAGGCAGCTCATTGCCCTCAGATGTCAGTTGCTGCAGTAATAAAACATCCTCTTTTGCCTGTGACTCCTCCTAAAATTCAGCACAAAACTGAGCCTGGAAGAAAGGCCTCTGAAGCTCTAAATTCACAGAATTCCTGTTTGTACGGAGGGAGCTCCCATTCAAAAACTTCATCTGAGTTCAGCTGGAGAGAGGCAGCCCCAGGCTCTGCAGCATTTAGACCTTCATAGCAGTGGTAATACCTTTATTTCTATCTGATAGCTAAGTGTGAGCTTGTGCAGTAGTGAAAGCATTGGTAAAACGTTATTCCACCATGAAACTCCATTCAGTTACCAGAGAGTTGCCTTCTACTGTGACTTTAATCTCCTGGGGCTGTCATGCACAACCATAGTACCTGGGTCTTACAGGCATCTAGTCTTGGACCTGTTATGGTAGGCAAGATATTACTGATCCTGTAACGACATTTAGCATTTCAGTGTTTCATATGCAAGCGGAGAATGTTGATCAAATAAAAGAACACACTTAAAACAACTTGTATGTTGCAATCAGTCAACCTGGATGTAAACTTTCTGCTGCAGCTATTTAAATCTGCTCTGTCAGCTTCTGTATTTTTGCACTATGGAGATAGCTAAGGACAGAGTTTCTGAAGAGAGCTTTTAGGGCTGTTCTCCCCCTCTTTAACATAGATGTACTACCTCAGTGATATCCGTGTCTGAGCAGCTTGCAATCCCTAATGTACTTATCTTTGTGAGGGCATCTAGGAATTAGAGAAGTAGGAATACTCCACTTCATGCAATTTGGTACCTAATCACAGAACATTTTTCATCATTGTAGAATGAAGTGAGCAGAAAAGTTTTAACTGAGCTCATAAACTCAGGCTGCCTGCCTTGTCAGGAACTGGGCTACAGTTCAAGTTAACACAGCTCTGTGGCTTTTACCTGTCAACAGTCTGAATGTTACCTACTTTACAGATGGTCTCATGCAACCTAAGATAACTTTGGAGGATCTAAAACTGCAGAGCAGACAGATGAGAAAAAGTAAATGACTGATTAGCATCAGAGAGGCTATTTATGAGATGGCAGGAATCTAACCCTTGTCATACAGCAGGAGGCCAGTTAAGGTGTGACAGTAGTGTAAGAAAATTTCTAACAATATTACATGTTAGAAATAACATAGAAGAAAGGTACCAGTGAAACATTTCTTTCTGTAAACAAAATTTTTATTTTATTAAATATAGAGGAAAAAGAAGTGCTTATTGTCCTTGCTTGCCCATTTTCAGATCACTTCTTGGTATCATTTTGCGCCAGTCGTTTTGTGCACATTATGTGGTCTGTGGGCTGGAGCCACAATTTCGTTGACCATGGGCTAATCTAAAACCTTCAGGAACATTTCCTTTCCAGTACAATTTCGATTTTAACCAATGGTAATTCTGATTTCCCACTCAATTAGTCGTTGTAAGGTGCATGCAGTTTCTGTAGAGCATGTTTTATCAGGAAATCCTTTCCGAAGTGTATTGGCCAATGTCCTGGCACTACCACAAGCCACAACACTTTTTTAAACTTAGTGCTCCAGATGCCTTGTTGACAGAGAATGCAATGCATATTCAGTAGCTTAGTTCCTTTCTTCTTCAAAGGCCATTTTCTTCTGTAAGTATTTTTAAGTATTTCATGCTAATGGACAATTAGCTGCTTGAATGGTTTTCAGCTGATGTACTTAGCAAATAATAATGCTTCTTTTACCTACTTTGAACTCAGTTCTAATAAATTTGCATGTACAATGAGTCTATTACGATTATTACTATTAATGCATAGCTCCCTGTTAGGATCACGTGTTTTGGAAACACTAAGTAAATAGAGTCTGAGCTTTGGGAACAATCTTTAAAGCAAAGATTACTTTCAAAGAGAAAATTTTGTAATTAGACCAGCATATTCAACTATACAGAAATTTCATAAAATGAACCACAATATGGTGATATAATACAGTGATATTTTTGCATACTAAGAAAATTAATCCCGAACTTCAGTCAGTTGCGCAGTGAAAGAGAAAGAGAAACTCTGCAAAACTGTGCATATGAGAGCTGAGAACACAAAAGATTTTTTTAATATAAAAAGTATGTGAAATACTTTTATTAAAGGTAAGATATTAAAAACAGACAGACATACCTATTCCTTGTCCTTCCTGGTAGTTCAGGCGAAACTTCAAATTCAGAAACAGTTAGTAAATAGCAAGACAGTGGTTAGTAATGGCATTCAAAGACGCATCCTGAGGCACAACTTTCTGAGTGCTGTCTGAGTGTTTTCTTGGTCATGTATGATGTTATATTTTGGAAGAAAGCCCCAGAACAGTGGTTTTTTTTTTTTTCCTTACTTTTCCAAACGTCAGCTGTAGTAATTTCCGCATATGAAATATTTCTTTTTTGTAGTGAAGTTACATAAACCATATGCCATAAACATTTCCCTTCACACAGCTATTAATTAAAGGTTTCCAGTACAGGTCCTTAGCAATTCTAAGTTCCTTTGTGCGGTTATCTGCAACAATGACAGCTTCATACAGCTCTGAATCACCCTCTCAGCGCCAATGCACGCAAAGTCAAACTTTATCCTAGCTTTCTGTGGTGGTGGAAGCTCTTCTCTCTACCAGTCTGGGCCAGTCACAGTTTTGAAGGGAAGGTGGGTGTGTACCTGGTGTCCCGTGCTGAGGAACTGGGGTTAAAGAAGACTATATAGATGACTTCAGCTACCACAGCAAGAAGAGAGCACATGAGGCAGCTCTGGGAGAAGTCAGGGATGTGCAAGGAGTAGTGCTCTTGTCAAAGCTTGTGCTGGAGGCTCACCAGAGCAAAATGGATATCTGTACTTATTTATTACAGAAATAGTAGTCCTGCAATCTCAAAACAGATATTTGGAAAGGGTTGCTGAAACTTGGACCCACCAGCATTGAAAACTGATGTCCTTTGCACTCTGCTGTTGCTATCCTGTGTATGAATCTCTGTGTACATTACTCCTCGGTAGTGCACAATAACTGCTGCATTTTCTCAGGCCTGGAGCCATAATTGATCCTGGTTTTGTCTGATTACCTTCTTGGACCTTATAGTTTGAGACTAGTTGTTTCCAAACTTAGTTTTATCTTTGTCCATTCTGACTGTCCTCTGATTAGAGCAATATATACAAAAAATAACATGTCTCACGTCTCTCAGTTTTTGAAATCCAAATCTCTCTTAAGTACATATGTGTAAACTATAGGATTTTTCAGCTGCTTATTAAAGAATAATAGGAAATTATCAAGGGATTGGAATGTAATTTACTTGTATTAAAGCTTTCTTCCCATTAGCTACTTAGCCAAAGAATGCACTCTCTCTCCCAATTCTCATTTCACAGTATCCATTCTTGTTTGGCAAGTGAGTTGAAATGAAAGACCATGCATGGCTTCACTGTGATATCTTATCATGAACCTCATTTTCACCATGATAAATGCTTTTATCCAAGCCTTATTTTTAGTTTGAAAAGATTCTAAGTTAGGTCAATGCAAATACTGGCAAAATTGACACAAAACTGTTATGACTGAACACCATCAGTTTTGGAAAAACTCTAAAAAACCCAAACAAGTTGAAGATTTAAAATGCATATATGCTTTTTTAAAATTTAAATGACACCTTATTTCAACATTTATTCATTTATTAAATAACCAGATCACTGTTGAAAATATCTCTCAAATGCAGTTACAAATGAGTATTTTTGACCTCCTGATTTCTGAAAAATGTTACAAAACTATTTTTTGTGGAGATGACCTGAAACACTGTGTTTTTTGAATCACATGTGACCTGAGGGATCCTAACATCCCAGACAGGATCAATCTCTAAACATCATAGCCCACACTTTGACTCACTAAGGTAAATGCAGTGCAACAGATCTTCGTCACAGACTTTCCCTAACTTCCTCTTTGCTTACGCTAGTGCCTTTCTGTGTTTAAGTTATTTTTTCATAAAGAAGGACATTTGAGCAATAACAAGACGTCTGGAATTCAGCCTTGCTTAGACATGAATCTCTAAGAGCAGCCAACATCCACATTCACTCACATTTTCTGAACTGCAGACTGCAGCCGTGTCTGAAATCTAACTGATGAAAAATAGTCTTATGAAGCTCATCCTTCCAAAATGGGATTAAAGTGTTGGTCTGTAAATCCCTTCCCTCCTCCTCTCTGTAAATATAATCTCTCCTTTTCCATTTTTTTATTCTCCTCTTTGGAACTTTTTTCAGAGGAGAAGAGATATTCAAAATGGGGAATCTATTCATTTGGAGGAAACCATGAAATGAATAGGTTCAGTTATAGCTCCTGACTCATAAAGATCTTAGAACAAATCCATATAATGAGGTCTAACTTCATAAAAGAGTGAGTTTAATTTACTATTTCTTTACAACTTATCAATTTTTATAAATATCTGATCAGAGGGTGTAAAAAGGATGGGGTCAGACTGTTCTCAGTGGTGCCCAGTAGCAGGACAAGAGGCAGTAGGTGCAAACTGAGATAAAGGAAACTCCACTTGAACACAAGAACGCTTCTTCACTGTGACAGTTGCTGAAGACTGGAACAGCTTGCTCAGAGAGGTCGTGGAGGGTCCATCCTTGGAGATATTCAAAACCCAAATGGACGTGATCCTGGGCAACGTGCTCTAGGTGACCCTGCTTGAGCGGGGGGTTGGACCAGATCATCTCCAGAAGTCCCTTCCAACCCCAACTATTCTTTGCTTCTATCAACTCAGCTCTTCATTTAAAACTGTGAAAAGCATAGAATGATTTGGTAATGTTTCACTCTTTGCACAGATGAAAGGAAAGTGAAGGATCAGGTTTAAAAGTATCTGTATTACAGTCAATAGTTAAAAGGGTTTTCCTGTCTATATGTGGTTAAAATGCATCTTTTTATTCCTGCCTTCCACCTGGGATACTCACAGCACATGAGTTTATGTTTTAAGCTTATATGATCTTCAGTCTTCCTGTCTGTGTTGACTTTCTGGTAAAAAAAATACACATTCTCCAAGGGGTCATAGGGATTTACAAATGTTAACTGGGCTCTCTGATAAGAAAGATTAACCAAACAGATTGATCAAGGCAGAGGTAATACATTACGTAGTAGGCAAATTGCAGAAATCAAAAATATCACAGGAGTTCTGGTTCTCAGTCTGACAGTCCAACCATTAAAAATCCTATTCCTCTTAGCATAAATTGGAACCTTTAGTGAGCTGAACAAATTATCTTTTTGGGACAGCATGAATTTAACAGACTGATTTTCTTTATTGAGATGGTCTCCAAATCAACCCACTTATTTGCTATGACCGATCATTTGTTCTAGAAGCTTGAAAAAAAGTTTTTTGATGCAACCTTGGGTTATAAAATTCTTTGTTTAGCTTGGCTAGATTTCTTTATATCTGCTGTAGACAGAGTTTGCTAAGGAGAGCTTAAACTCTAGTGAAGTGATTTACAATTCCTAGTGAACTGATCCCGGTAGCATCACAGTACAGCAATAATCAAGCCATATTAAGTACATGTTATGGAGGCAGAAACAGAAAAATATGGAAGGTGCCAGAATAGCCCAGAAACCCACAATGTGCTGATGGAAGAAAGAATGGAGAGAAAGAATGATCCAACAGCTATAGTACTCCTTGGGGATTTGGAAGACTTGAACTGAGTTTCTGACTTTTCCGCAGACCTCCTGATTAAAAAAAAAAAGCAACATTCTCTTGTCCAAAACAAACACCAGCTCTTTGTGCTAACAGGTTTTAAGACTGTTAATTTTGCATTTTGACCAAAACTGTTATTCAGCTTGAAAAAATAGACTGTAAAAAGATAAGAATCATTCCTGCCTATACCTACTGCAGGCCAGAAGTATCAACCACTGTTTGTTTCTATTCCTCTGGTAAAGGGTCCCTGTTCCCAAACCCCAGCCACCTCCATCAAACTGAATGTGGAGTCAGCTGTTTCAGTGGCCAAAGTTTAAATAAAGAGGTGGCAGTCTCAGGTAAGAGGGAAGGTAGGAACAGCTGTGGGAAGGAGGCAGGAAAAAGAAGAGTAAAAAGGTAAATTGATTACAATTTAATATCTCCAGCTGTGAGATCTTCAGGACAAAGTTTACCCTCATTTTCCCCAGGCAACTCAACTCAAATACTGTCCTAGTTTTCATGTGAGCAGGATTACACCAAGTGTCTGAATGTGACCAGAAACTAGCAGTAAGTAAGATGTAGCTTGGACATTACACCTTACTTCTTGGTTTTTGTTACTTGCATAAATGGTATGTGCCAATAATGCACAGCGTGTGATGTCTCCAAGTGAGAAAGAATGTGAATTACACTCTCTAGAAGCTGACATTGCAGTCTGTGGAGGGCTGATGTAGGGATTTTGTACTGGTGTCAGTATCTGCCTGCTTTGAGGTTGGAGCAAAGGATTTAGGCAGATGGTCCCTCTTGCAAACAGCAGGGAGGGTATCTACTGAAGTACAAAGAAAACCAACTGAAAAGATTTCGGTTTCCTCAGCTGCCTTAATTCAGATTTAAATTTCCAAAGGAACTGAGGCTGCTTAGCACCTCACAGAAATGGTCTTGGAAAGAAAGCTGACCAAAAGCTTTAAAAATAGTTAGAATTGTGTTGCTTCAGCTCACTTTCCTATAGCACAACAGGAAATGAAAGTTATCCACATCAGTCACACTTCCGCTTAGTCATTCCAGAGTAAAAGGATATAGGCTAAAGAAAAAAATGGTAACAGATTTCATTTGTTTAAGTTGTTTATTTTCTATTGTAAATACTTACCATATAGCAAAATAATGTGTCTATATATATTTACATACTTTAAATTAAGGTCATAGTCTTGATATGTCATAACACTTAAATATTTTATTTCTGAGTACCAAGCACTCAAAATTCTCTTCTCTTGGCTGAATACCTACTGTATGGAGTTCCTTTCATTTAACGGTTGAGCAAACAGTATGCTCATATACAAGACAATACTGATAACACTGGAGATAACAGAAAGTCTTGATGTATTTTATTATAAGTGTCTTGGACAATACATAGAATGAACAAAGAAGTATTTTTGACACAATTATATTGGATGATTAAAGAAAACCTACAGAAATTGTCTTTAAATCATCTACGATCATCTAAATCCCATGGTTTTCATAGCAAATTCTCACACAAATTCCCACACTAGTAGAGTATTTTCTTGGTTTAAATTTTTTAAGATTTAACATAATTTACTCACAGATTTACTGATAAAGACCACTCATAGTAGCAGTCATCGTTTAATTATGTCACCAGACTCTATTTCTTTTGGGAATTTTAAGCCACTAGCCTTCAGTGCCTTGAAAAGAAAGGAAAGGCTCTGTTAATTTCAGTAGTTGTTAGATCATCTCCAAGTCAGGTTTAGAATAAGGTTCCTAGAGGTAAAAATGCATATTGACAATTTGGTACACTATTCATTTATCTTCCATATATGATTAATTTAGATTATACATCCAGTCTAATTTGGGAAGAGGTATTTTATAGTAATATCACTCAAATTAATTCAACAGAGAAAACAGCCAATGCGAGAGTCTGAAGAGGCTATGCTTACATACTCCTATTAGCTTCAATTAGATTTCTAACGCAGAGAGAAGATGCTTTCCTTCATAATCTCAGTTTCTTCTTGTGAAATTATACCAGTTGTGCTGAGCATTTATGCTTCCATTAAATAAGATTACAAACATGAATTATGTTTTTTGTAAAAAAACAAGTCTCTGAGCTGAAGTGTATGCATGAATGTAAGCAACATTCACTCACCCAAAGGGAGCTCTTCATAGTAAATGCAGCAACTGCACCTTTTGCAGAAGGGGTAAGCACTCTCCTGCTACAAAGAAAACTCAGCTAGTTTCATGAAGCTGGCTGCAGCCTTCCTTCCACTACCTTTATTAAGTTACATTCCATAAGTAAAAGCTAATATGAACCTCAGTTTAGCAGAGGCAGAGCAGTTGCAATAAGGCCCAGTCTGTCAATCAAATAAATTTGTTCTGGATGACTGAGTAGAGAAAGGAAACAGCATGGAAGATGGCAACTCCTAAAAATCAGTTTGAATAATATTCTTGTAGGATTCTCAGTTATCAGAAACTTACTTAAATATGAGTCCGTCCTATCAAAAATGTAGTCTAACAAACTATGGGTACCATAAGTAGTCACATAATCCTGACAATAGCTCCTATCCTGGGACTCTATTCAGAGAACTGTATGTGCATTCAGGCACTTATGTTCATCATAAATACACACATTTCAAACAATGAAGCCAGCTAATATAAGTCGGTTGTGAAAATGTAAATGTGCCATCATGTATGATGTGACCATGACAAACATCCAACAGCAGTAGAAGCAGGGGTCTACATGGAGTTTGCATTAAGATCAAACCATTGGTTCCCCACACGTGATGAATGCTACCTCACATTTATGCTGAGGACCCATAGCAGATGCATATTAGCGGAGACCCAAATGTTAGAAGTTTTTTTCTGTAACGAACGAACTGTGCTATCGTGGTAATGGGAAAATAGACTTTTTCCTTGGGCATTCACTAGAAATGGAAGTTCTTAAAGTGTCCAGGGAGTTTTCCATCCGCACAGACTGTGATTTTCTGCATCTCTTTGGGAGCAAGTCCTTATAGAATTCCGCAGCTTTCCTCTGGAAGTGTTTTCCTACAATAACATACAGGACGGGGTTCAAGCAGCTGTTGCTAAAGGCACAGTATGTTGCTACCTGGGTCACTATCTCATTGATGTCTTCAAGGCATTGGAAAGTATCTGCTAGGTAAGAGACTGTGTCGATGAGTGTGCTGATCTGGAACGGAAGCCAGCAAATGATAAACAGCAAAAGCACAGCAAGGACCAGCATAGTGGCTCTCCTCTCTGTCTGGATTAACTTGAGTTTTTGTAACTCGCTGCTTCGTAAGGCTTTGATTATTTGAATCGTGCAATAGGTAATTACACAGAGTGGGATCACAAAGCCCACAATATTAAGCAAGCAGTTGTTTGCAGGCTGCCAGTAGGTGGCTGGATACTCGAGAGAACAGGCTGTGATGTTGTATTCTTTGAAATATCGTAAATTTCGGAACATTACTGTAGGTGAACATATAAGCAAGGCACACATCCAAACTATGAAGCTATTCCATTTGGCGCAGGTGGTTCGTCGCATCCGTCCAAGAGACATGGTTTTCACCATGGCCAGATAGCGGTCGATGCTTACTAGTGTTAGAAAATAAATGCTAGAATAAAAGTTCATGTAACTAATTGTGTTGATGGCTTTACAGAGGAATAGGCCAAAAGGCCATCCAAATTTATTAGAAATATTAATGGCCCAGAAAGGCAAAACACAGACTAACATAAGGTCAGCAAATGCCATATTTGCTAAGTAAATTTCAGCCACTGTGCAGCGACTCTTGTGGAAACACAGGACACTGAGGACAAAGCCATTTTCTATTGCTCCCAGAATAAATATAAGCCAGAGGAATCCAGGCTGAAAAGTGTATAGCCAGTTCCATGCATCTGAATCAATGCATTTAGATCTATTCAGTTGATGCACTCCTGAAGTATTGTGGAAATCTGCTGGATTGATTCTGAGCTCCTGGATGCTCATAATGTTGTAAAGTTGAGTAACATTTTCTGTTGCGATGGAAGCCATTTCTGTGCAGAGAAAAAAAAGGTTGAATGAGATTGCTGCATCTACCTTATTGCTGCAGAAGATACAATAAGAAAAGCTGCACCAAAAAACATGACTTTGAACAGGTTTACAATTCCATGGTTTGCACTCTTGTAAATACCAGAAAGATTGCAGAGGGTTTAACAGAGTGAACTGGTATAGACTGTGTGGACCAGTTTCAAGGGAGTGAAACAGAGGGTTGAAGTAACAGCAGACGCTGTCTGTATTAAACAGAACTGAAACTGGAAGAGAACATTTACAGGCCTTTATTCCCTAGAACCAAACTATAGCAAGGATTTTTTTTGAAGAGGCTGATGGGTTTTTTCTTATCTTTATGTATCAACAGTCATAGTCTCCTAAAGGACCGCTATATCTTTTGAATCTCTCTGTTGCTAGTTGTAAGGTGATAGGTTTGTGGCATGTCACTCAACATTTCACACGCTGTCTTGTAAAGCAAGAATTCTGTGTAATTCAGTGCTGCTTCCTCCTTGCACAACACTACTTTTTTTTTTTTTTCCAAAATTTATAACTATCAAAGCAGCCGTTTAGTTTACAGCTCTAGTTTGTACTGAGAAAGCTGCGGAAGCAAGAACCCGTATTTGCAAGCAGTGTGGCTTTCTCATCTTCTCATTGAAATCACTTGTGTATTTGTGCATCTGTATTACAATCTCTTTCTGCAGGCAAGTCACAGAGGAGATGAATGGTACAACCTTGGTAAGGACACTCAGTTTTAATAAGCTCGACAGTGGGTGGGTTAGTAAAGATGGTGGCCATCATGTAAGCAAGGACCTGTATTGCAGTCAGGTTGCTGTGGGCTAATTTGGCTGCGAGAGCACAAACTGAAAACCTTACACTACGCTGTAAATAACTGTATGAGTCGGAACAGGTTAGGAATAGCTGGGCATAAATGTTAAGATATGTGCTTAAACGTTATTAAGATGAAACAGAAGCTGAGGGTCCACCTTCAGGGTATTGTCTTTAAAATGTTAACTGAGGTTGTTGTTGCTGTACTTCTGAGGTGATGCATGCTGAGACATTATTCGAGTACAAGCCTGTCTTACCAGATCTGTGTATACAGCTGTCTGGAGTAAGTGACAGTTTGTCTTTTTTCAGTCTTTAAAATATTACTTGACTGCAATGTGGCTTCAATACGGCTTGATTGGAAGCCTTTCAGATATATTTTTAATTAAGACATTTTTCTGATCCAGCTGGTAAATTGGCAGTAAAAGAGGATACATTTGTTATTCTTGGAAGGATGCAGTTTTCATTTGTATTCTGGTTGCTGCATTTGCTGTTTGAGACATGTCAATGCTGGATGCGTACATAGATGTTCAGTTGTTGGATACAGAATTACTGAAAAATGATGATTCATATTTGGTGTATTTATTATTCATTAAGCATTGTAGTGCTTGGGAACCAAAGGCCACTTTGCACTAGGTACAGTAAAGGCAATAACAAAAGGGAATCTCTTTGTTCCACAGAATTCATAACCTATTTGTCAGGTAGGACAGGTCAACTCAATAAAATGGACAAGTGGCACTGAAAATCTTGAAAGATAGGCCAACTTATTTAATTAGCACAAAACAAAATGTCAGCAATGTGCATTTCTAGTTCTTCATAACTTGAGCAGCCAAAGGATAGGATTTGCAAAAGCTGGGCAGCAACCAAAATGTTCTCATTTTCCAAGTTCATCCTTTCAAAAATAGAGCTTTTCAAACCCATTTCTAACAGCAGGAATGATCTCCATCCTCTAGCATCTTTCCTGCCTCTTTGTTAATCTCATCACTGTTAGAACCACCTCAGTTTTGAGACACTGGTGTCCTTTGATCTTTGAAAGCTTTCAACAAGCATCTGGAGAAGGGATTGGTAGAGCCTATGTATTAAGCAGCATTATGCACTGTAGATACTCCTCCAGTGATCTATGATTTTGGTGACACTGATATCTGAGGCTTTTAGGTCTAGTGCACATGGATTTATTTGGTCAATGTGGGAAGAAAACACCACCTTCAGCGTGTGCAGTTTAACACTGGCAATAATCTAATGTACATCCTCTTTTCATCTTCCCGTTGTGAGTATCTACTGTAGGTTGTCAGTGCCTTGGATAGAGATCTTATCTTTGTACTCTTTCAGGAATAGCAGCTACAGCTAGTGCATTTTTCTGTGATTTTTTTTGTTCGTATTTCAGCATATTGCAATATAGAACAATATCAAAAGCTTCATTGGTACCCAGATATGCCTGATCTATTGCTTCTGCTTTATCCATTAGGTCAGATTGTATTAAGTTGACACAATTTTATTCTTGATGAGCTCATGTTGGCAGTTCTTTATCAATTTGTTATCCTTTATTATCCTCCAGATGTGGATCAAATTGCAAACAGCAGTATAAATTCTCTCTTTCTGTGTCTGGTGGCCCTTTGTGCTGTAAATACACAGAGGAAGCAAAATACTGATGGATAATCAAAAAAGGACATTTGAAAATAAAAGTTCTGTAGGGAGATGCAATTAACAGAAGGTGATTCTTCTGTTCATAGCAGGCTGTGAACTAGCAGCAAGACTTAATTATGACTTTACTTTATGCTTTGGGGTTGGACATACGTACCTATTTAACAAGTCATTCATTAGTAATTCAAAGAGTAGTCATAAAGGTTATGACATAGTTGACAATTTCTATGCCTTCCCCTCATAATAATGACTAATAGAAAAACAATAGCCAGACATTAATTTTACCGAAAATAGCTCAGAAAATGGCCAGTGATTTATGATATTTTTCCTACAAGTCATCTATTTTAGATTATTGTTTTAGAACGGAAAGCCCTAGAAAGACAATGCTTTAATTTTTTTTTCTATTACATTACTATGTTGTAAGAGCAGCACGCAGGGATGCAGTCAGGATGTGAGCCAGCCCCGTGCGGTGGTGTCCCCGTGACCTGCCTCCTTGCTCCTTAGCTCAAGCTCTTCTGTAAAGCGTTGACAGAAGTGTGGCAGTGAATAAGGTAAAATGCGCTAAGGGGTATTTCCTGATCAATTTACACAATATATTAAATGCGGTGTTTGGTGCTCCTCTCAGTGGCACAGGATGCTCATTTAAGCCATATGCTTACAGAATAAATTACGGTTTACACAGACGTGATATAGAAAAGGGAGTGATGTCTCACTGCCGGTAGCTTATCATCAAAATTCAGTGAAACTAAATGTGACCTGTTTACACATGCTCTATAAATACTTTCTGTGCAATGCAAGGCAGGCCTAACATGTAAAACCAGGCTCTTAAAAAGAGTCTGTGTGACATTTTGGATTTAGATACTGCGCAGCTGAAGCAATCCATCATTACTGAACGCGAAGAAGGAGAGGCGACTCCCATCGCAGACCGAATTGCTCCCGCAGGCATTCACCTCCCCTGCTACTAGTTACCGCCTCCTTCACTAGGGCACGACAACTTTGGCAGTCATTGTTTTTTCCATTGTTCCAAAATATTTTCTAGGTACTAATATTGGGCGTAAACGGCAGACTTTGGGCGGCAGGGGCTGCCCGCTGCCCTCTGTGGGAGGCCGCCATGACCTGTGCTGCGCCAGTCGCAGCCGGTTCCAGCCAGCTCCGAGCAGTGCGAGCAGCCCGTCGCCGGACAGAGCTGCCGGCTTGCA